TCAGAAAAGACACACACACACCCCGGGCTGGTCTGAATGACAGTGCTTGGCGGGGCGCTTCCATCAAAGGATTCTTGAGAGTTTAAAGGCCCTTCCTCACCTGCTGTGCATACCCTCGGAACATGGGGTTCACCAGCTTGATTCCATGAGAGAGGCTGCTGGGGACGACATAGCTGGGCCTGCGTGAAAAAAGAACCGCTGGAGAAATGCTTGCTTAGTGAGGAGCAAAGCCCGGCGAACACTCAATGAAGTTGACTTTCCGAGTAAAAATCTAGGAGTTACAGGTGGATTTATTTATTTATTAAGGCAGACAACTCCGCTCTCTGAAATGTACTCACCGTTTCTTATGCCAGACTTCAGAGATCAGCTTCTGGTAACTTTTGCAGAGCGCCGGCTTCTTGTCCGTTCGCACGAGCCCGCTGCACTCAAGGAAGAACTGGGTCAGTGGGGGGCTGAAACGCAGACAGAGGAGAAGGCTGATGAGAACATTACCTGCAGTTTTATCGGGGGACATAGAGGGGGGGCAGGACAACCACAGAACGCAAGATTGTGCCTTTAAGAAACGCTCTTTACGGCTCTACCACGTACCAATTGGAAAGGGCCTGGAGAGCTGCATTCATGTAACAAGAATTCCCAAGATTTTTCATTCCAGTAAGGCCTAGAGGAGGAGGAGGAAGGAGGGGAGACAAAAGAGGCGTTTACGACTCGTTTCATTCCAGTAAGGCCTAGAGGAGGAGGAAGGAGGGGAGATAAAAGAGGCGTTTAAGACTCGCTCATCTCCTCCTACGTTCTTGGACTCAAAAGAGGGAACGGGGGGGCTTCCAAGCTGAGAACCCGAACAGATTTACCTCTGGGTTTCAGGTCATCGTCAAAGGAAGAGGGAACGGGGGGGGGAGGGCTTCCCAGCTGGGAACCCGTACAGATTTACCTCTTGGTTTCAGGTCATCATCTTCCGACTCCGACTCGCCTTCGTCGGCCACCGCGATGGGAACCGCTTTGACAGGATGGATGGGAGGAGGGGAGTCCTAGAATCGAAAGGCGGGAGGAAAGCATGATCCGGATCTCTTTTACAACAAGCAGGGAACGGGGGGGGGAGGGCTTCCCAGCTGGGAACCCGTACAGATTTACCTCTTGGTTTCAGGTCATCATCTTCCGACTCCGACTCGCCTTCGTCGGCCACCGCGATGGGAACCGCTTTGACAGGATGGATGGGAGGAGGGGAGTCCTAGAATCGAAAGGCGGGAGGAAAGCATGATCCGGATCTCTTTTACAACAAGCTAGGAGAAGGAGAAAAGTCTTTCTCTTCTGAAAGCCCTGATAGGACACCTAAGTGTTAAATACACGTAAAAAAATGGTACAGTACAGGAACCTTATGGGGCATAGTAGTTAAACTGCAGTACTGCAGTGAAGACTCTGCTCACAACCTGAGTTTGAACCCAATGGGCTCAGGCAGGTGGCTTGAGGCTGATGCAGCCTTCTGCGGTTGGTGAACTGAGTGCTCAGCTTGGTGTGGAGGAGGGCTTTGTGTAACCTCTGTTCATGGAAAAGTAGAAGGCAGCAGGAAAAGGGGAAGACCCCATACGAGATGGGTTGACTTTCTAAAAGAAGCCACAGGATGAGAGAGCTCTCCAATGCTCACCTGTTCTACATATTTGGAAGGCGGCGCCGGCGTATGCGAGGCCAGCCGCTGGTCCAAGAAAACCTCCTTTTCGCAGGCGTAGCACCACACCCGGAAGGTTGTCAGATTCACCGTCAAGTTGTGCTTCTTTGCCTGGCAGAGAAGTCGGCGGGAGAGAAACACAGACGTTCAGATTTCCGACTCACCGTTTCCGAGATGCAAAATCCTACCTGTACCGGCTACAACCAGCAGCAAGGATTTGTGACAACACCATCGCTAGTGCGTTGCCAGCGCGGCCAGCGGAGCGATGGATCGGCAGAAGTGCTTCACGGCGTACGCAACTCTCAGAATCCCCTCGGGCTTTGGACCCAGGGTGAAAAACAACGAGAGTTGTAGCCGAAAGCTCCTTAATTGTGGCCGGCTTCGAAGCCAACGGCTCTCCCAAGCCACGTGTTCCTTAGCGGCCACGTTGGCTTACCTGTGCATGGAGGGTGCTGTGATCGGCGAAGGACTCCCCACAACCCACATAAGGGCAACCGACCTGGAGAGAAACAGAGAGCCCTACAGTGTTGATTTTGCAAGAGGAATTTTGCATCAGTGAGAGTCTATAGTGGGCACGGATTGGGGAAAAAACGGTAGTTTGTGATGGTTTGCGGTTCGTGGCTGCCCACGAGTCGCAAACTATCACGAATCCCCTGAAAAAAACAAACCGGTTCACGGTGTGGTTTTCAGGTTCGTGAGGCACGCACCCCGAGTGGCCACACGAGTAGCGGAGGATGCAGGTAACTCGTTTTGCTGAAGCGAAATTAAGTAATGAGGGGAAGAAAGTTTGGCGCTTCGAGATCCCCAAACCGAATCACGAAACAATCCAGTTTGTGGTGGTTGTTGTTTTTTCCTTCCTAGTTCAGGGTTCGGTTCTATCTATAACGCACATGTGATGCGCTCATACGGGGAACATTTCATGCGTTCCAATTTAGCGACTTACAGACGATTCTCTACAGGGTGGCCAAGAACTCAGGAGGAGATATTTTAAAGGGAAGGCCTTACCTGGAGGCAGGCCCACAAATTGGGTCCTGCTGCACCGCACGACTGGCATGTTCCCTGTGTTCACAAAGGAAAGTCGCAATTAGGAAATGACCATAGCCGAGGGAAACCAAAAATCCAATTTTAAGAACGAACATTAGAAACACACAGCGGACCGACATCATACACACACTAGTTTAAGCCTCTAAGGCCTCTTTCCGCAGGTAGATTTTCGAGCTTAATCCGGGATTTTAAGGAAGAGGAAGTTCTTACTGCCGTCTAATTTTTGTTTACCTTGGATTTGAGAAGCAGATCCTCCTTTGTGATCTCACCTATGCAATCCAGGTGAGGACACGGCTCTCCCATTTTGGACCAGGTTCACCTGGGAAGGGGAAGAGAAGGAGAGAGGGGGGAAAAGTTGAATCTGGGTCACGTCCAGCTTGGTGCACTGTTCACGCCTAAAAACCAGAAGGCAGTATACACACATACACAAACACACACATAAGTGACTCTGACATGTTCGGCCCCGTCTTATCATTACAATCCCAAGCTGTCCTGCTGCCAAAGCAACGGGATTTTGGGATAGTGAAAACAAACAGCTTCTTGATATGCATTCTGAGCCAGAGAGACCTTCTGGAAATGAAGCGATAGAACTAGACAGAAAAATCCAGACAAGGTCTGAATAGAGTGGAATAAAAGAGGAAAGTGTTTCTTCTCATGAAACAAAGGGAAATGCGGGTAAGAGGCATCAAGGGCTGAATATCGGGGGGAAAAAACTTCTTAACTGTTAGAGTGGTACAACGGTGGAACCCACAGCCTTGAGAAGTCGTGAGCACTTCAGCGTTGGAGGCCTTCAAGAGAAAACTGGACCAGCGTCCGTAGGATGTGCTTGAATCCGGTTTCTTGCCTTGAGCCTAAGACGGCTCCAGAGGCCCCTTCGAACCCTATTATTCTTTGCTTCTATGGATCCACGGTGTTCTGGGAATACAGACCGGCATCTTTCCTACTTCCGAAAAGCAGCACGTCCTCCTCCAAACGCTGGCTTGTTTCGGGATCCACGCGTTTCCAGAATGCTTGTTCAAGGGAGGGAGGCAAAAATCCTTCAGAGCTTGCTGGATAGACTGGATTTTTTTTTCTGGCAGGACTTGCTAATGGAAGGAACAGATGCTTATTCTCCAGCATACAAAAAAACTCCCCAGCACCCCACATGAAGCCGAGCAGAGCTGATTGTCCTTCGAATCAAGCCATTACTCATCAGTTTTTCCTCCCGACGGCTGCAGCATCAGAGCCGTGAACTCCAACCGCTCCCGACCTCCTTTCCGGCCGATCTTTTCAGCTCCTCCCGGCCATCACGAATAAACAAGGATCGCTCCAATTCCGCTGTACGTTCTCTTCCTGACAAAGGCCTCGGGCCGTTAAATACCAGAGTAAATCAATCTGGAGGCTCTGGCAGAGCCTGGGTGCGGAAGGAGGAAAAGGATTCTCCCGACCAATGCCCGTTTTGTCCTGGAACACTCTGCAAATCCCAGAAACCTACGGAGGTGATGTAAAAAGCATCGCCTATTATTCCACGTTTCCAGAGCCACTGAAGGGTTTCGCAGTTAACCCTTGCCTCCACTGACAGCACCGGAGAAATCAATAATTTTAACCGGAAATGATGGAAGCTGAGCAAGCCCACACTCTACTGGCAGGTCTTTTTAAAGACAGGGCTGCTCTTTGGTTAAATCCTGTCTCCTTTATTAAGTATATATATATTCTCGATCATCCCCGAGTGCGGGACACGTCGTAATGGGCTCAAGCGACAGGGACCCAAATTTCGGTTGAATTATCGGGAAAAAATTCTCAACAATTAGTGCAGTATAACAAAGGAACTCACGCCCACGGGAGGTGACGGGGAGCGCTCCGGTGCTGGAGGACTTCGAATGAGCAACCCTCGGTCCGATTTGCTTGGATTGGGATCCCGGCCTTGAGCAGAGGGTTGGACTAGATGACCTTGGGGGTCCCAGTTATTCTATGATTCTACTATAACTCTTCGTAGCCAGAACAGGCTAGTTTGAACAGGCTTTTTGGTTTTTCGATATGCTTCATTTCCTACACAGAGAGCGGTGTTCTAAATTCAACCCCCCCCCCAAAAAAAGAATCTTCGAACAAGATTTAAACCACCGAACTAGAAGAGGAGAATTTGTCTCTCTGAAATTTGGAAGGCCACAAATAGACCTCATGTGGGATCGTTTTTTACATCCTGTTCAGGCACCTTCCACTGTAATTAGATCAACCATCCAATGAGATGGTTGTCGTATCAACCCTCTTGGTCATCATCCGAAACCGGCATTTCCATCATCACACGTCCCTCTTGTCATGCCAGAAGAAAAATGAGTAACGCGACCAACATGCTTTTAGCAAAACAAACCTCATTTTCCACCTGCAGTGAATTATAATCCCAGAATGATCACCATGGATAGGCAGGATCCGACCTGTCCATAGCAAACCTGTAATATCCCTAGACATCGTTCAAAGGTTTCATTTAATTTCGGACCGTCCTCTGAATTGCAGAGCAGAACGCTGTTCAAAGAGCTGTCCTTGAGATCCAGGCGATCAGGATTTTGAACCCAGGTCTTCTCGATGGGGAAACCACGACATGCATCCGAAACCAATATAAGATTTCCTCTTTTTCAGACCGGGATAAATAGCAAACAAGCCGCCTAAAATCCTCTCCAGATCCCATTCTGTAAAAAGGGGGGAACTGGGAGGACTGGGTTTCGGGGGGAGGGAGGAACCCTTTTCCATTTGTAGGCATCCACGTGAAAGGTGCATGCCGGCCTCAAATGAATCAGAGGAGGATGATCCTGCAAAAGTCCCCCAAATCAATGGGAATTTTGCAAAATGCAAAAGCACTGCAAAATGCCACCCACCCACCGGAGACAGGCGAGAAAACGGCCGTTGGAACAGCTGGACTCAGTGCCTTACGGATCCAGCTGCCCAGCCGGGAGGTTGGGAGTTCGAATCCCCCTCATCTTGCCTCCTTGATAACGGATGATGATCCAGAGGGTCCCCTTTCCAGCCCTGCAGATCTAAGAGGAAGGGGACAGGATGATGATTACCCCGCCCCCCCTTCCTCCTTAAATGATAAGAAAGCCTGCAAATTAGAGCTTCAGGATGCGGGAGGGACGCGCTGACACACCCCCGCCCTGCAAACCCCTCTTCTCGGCTCCCCAAAAGCCGAGGAGGAATAACGTTACAAAGTGGACGTTACAACGTCACTACCCCGCCCCCGTTACTCCGGGCATGGATCCTCCCAATAACCGAGATTAGGATGGGGCACCCCATAATCTCTAAGCAAATTCCCCCCACCCCAAAAAATAAAATCAGCACCTGTCTTGGTCAATTTCGCCTCCGGCGTCCCTTCCCCCCGCGGAGCGCCCCTCTTCCCCGGGGGAGCCGCCTACGCGAGCCCGGGGCTTCGGGCGCCCGCCTAGGCCTCGCGGCGGCTTTTTCCGCCCCGAAGGGCCGAAGCGGCGA